TCCCCTTTTACACTTTCCTAGGTTCCCCTCCTTGCCAACGTTTACGGTTGTGTAGCTCCGAATGAGAGTCTGGGGTAATTCCCTTTTGACTCAGAACTGTTGACGATGGCCCAAGCCGTTTTCGAGACGACAGTATGCCAATGGGCAGAGATGAGCCTGTTCCTGGATGAGAGTAATTGAGATGGATCCGTAAGTGCCCTCGTGTGACATCATTGTGCTTTACACGTTAGGAATCTGTGGTGCCACCCACCCAAGATAGGTAGGTAGTAGCCTTCTGAGAGAGGTCAGTGGTACTATACCGAGCTTGGGTGAGAAAACGGACGGACCTGTTCATATGCAGGCCAGTGCCCATCACTCAAGGACCAAGAGCCACTGACATACGGGACACAACCCACGAGAGATCGCTCGCCAAAGTTCACCGCAAATTCTAGTCGATGAATGGATAGCATTCACTTGCTCCAACCTAAAGATCACCAGCAATCCCCTTCATCACAGCGGCCGCCCTCTTCGCGATGCCTGCATCAACGCCCTCGCCGCCCTCCGCTCTCGCGTCAAAGCCCTTCACCCAGAAGGCCCACCTCTCCTTTCCATAACCACCCTCACCTCCCAACTTTTCGCCCGCTCGCAGGCTCCTTGCGTCGGGCCCTGACAGCACCGGTCCATCCGTGACGAGCTGCCACACCCTTGACCCGGCATGCATGATCCACAGACCCGCCGCCGCCGAGAGGTACGCTGCCTCCTTCACATCCTCGACGTCCTCCTCGAACGCTGAGCGAAGCTGCCACAGTGCAAAGTCGTCACCGTGGATGAGGCCGCGACTCCAGAGCAGCGCCGTGAACGCCTGGATGCTCAGGTAGCCAGCGAGCTGGGCATCGGTGGGCGGACGGTTGGGTTCAAACGGGGCTGTCTCTGTTAGCTACGAAGACGAAAGCACAGGAGCTCAAGAATACGTACGGCCAAAGACGTCGCGCAGGTTCCATCCGAAGGTGTGCAAGCGGCGAAAGGTTTCAAATTCATTCTGCTCCCTCAGGTCAGCAACGGCCTAGGCAGGTAAGGCGTCTGGGTTCAACGTACTGTTGTCTCAGTAAAGACGGTCTTTGGGGAGAGCGAGAGTGCCTCGACTGTGCGTACGAGCCTCACCAGCGCTGGGTGATTGTGCGGGATTTGCTTGGCGACATCAATGACCATGTTGTACAGCGTATAGTGCGCATCAGTGCCATCGGATCCTGGAGGTCCTGGCAGGGTAGCGGCCAGGTCCTTAGCCGTCGTCTCCACCGTCACTGAGCTGTCCGAACTAGCATTGAGGAGCGTCTTGACCGTCTCGAAGGCAGCAGCATCATCGTAAGATACATCGTCTGGTTTGTAAGTTAGGTTGAGTGCTTCTGCCATGATGGCGATACTTCTTGGCGGACGCGGGGTAGACTGTCGCTTGGATTGTGAGGTGGTGTCGTAGAAAGGAGCAGAGCGCTTGGCGATCGATATGGTGTGAGTCCCTGAACGAAGCAAGGTCCTGGATATATCTGTCCTTATAGAAGTCCGGGAGATAAGGCTAGGCATGGCCGTTGACATGTGGAAGATCGGCCAGGCACCCTCGATCCAGGGTTGCCCCTCAACTACCGACGTCACAGACGGCGGGGTGCTACAGTGTCGCAAAAGTGGGGGTGTTCCCTTTTTCCAGGCCTCCGACCGTGTGGCGGTGGCCCCCGTGGGCCAGCCCCTGGCTTCGGTTCGTCCCACCTTCCAGCTTTCGGCGAACTCCTGCAGCATCATCCTGCGAACAATTATGCCGCGAATCTTCGACGTAAGCAGGGGGCTTGCTATTTACGATCTGGCTTGTCGATCAGTGCTGGTTTTGCGTGTGTGTGGCATTTCAGGTCGCAAACATGTTCATGTCGGAGGAGCCTCATGACCGTCTTCCGTAGGCGGACTCTCGAGGCGGTTGCAGTGATGCGTACGACCTGGAGTTGGTGATATAATAAATTCCCGCCGTGTATCAGAGAACAAAGACCTCTGCCTCCAAAATGCAGCAGGAGATAAGTCTGCAAGGGAAAGGAATCACAGGACCATCGCAAAGCGTGCACTAAATGCCTATTTCGACCCGGCAACAATGGCGGGTGGTGACACGGTCATCTCTCCGCCCGTTGCGTAGAGAATCAGTGGGACGGGTTTCCTACCTCGGAGTGCAAGTAGGCACTCATTGCGACAATAGCGAACAGTTCCACAAGGCAGCTTTCAACAGGCCGTTGCCTTGTGAATGGAACATAGTCAAGGCAATTGAGCTGCCAATCTCCTTCCACTTCTCCAACCCCCCTCCGAGGAGGATTCAAGATCAGGACCTTTGGCCAGGTATCGCATGCTCAACAAATTTGTCACCTTGAGCACACTGTCTTACGCAAACACGGCGTGCCAACATCATGACTAAAGCCCCCGAGGTGACAAGCGTCATGGATCTAGACGATGTTGAGACCAGCAACCCCGACTGGAAGTTGCAACTTGACATTGCCCACTTCGAGCTCCTTGTCCCTGACGATACCCGCTATGGTGTCAAGCCTGGAAGATCCTTGGAAGACAAGCAGGCTGACAGAGTGGAAGGCAAGATCCTTTCGGAGCGCAAAAGAATCGAGAGTCGACTAGGTCCACGCACACAAGCAGAGCAGCGCATCATCGACACGGCGGAACTCATCATCATTCGTCGACAAGACATTCACCTTGCCCAGCGCCGGGAGCGACGTCTCGAGAACCCCTCCAAGTACTATGTCCTGAGCGAGTATCCCGACAACAACCCTCTGAAGCGCCCTGTCTGGCGAGGCCTCTATGATACGAAACTGAGGCCCGTCAAATACTACATGGGCCACAAGCCAGGCGACTTCATATTTCGATATTACCATTTGCCCTGCCTGCCGCTCCGTGACCCACGGAGATGGGTCTATGAAGGTCAGGTACCGCACATGCTGTACGAGTACAAGGCCAGAATGTTCAGAAAATACTCCCGGATATCCTCGAGGCGCTGCTCAGTGCCATGAGCTTTGCAGAGAACGAACGGGGTACAGACCCTCCGGGTTTGGTCCAGAAACTTCAGCGGCGCGGGCGCCTTGCACTTACCAAGCCAAAGATTCAATGGCGCATTTTCGAGGCATGGAAAGAAAAGGTGATCAAGGGACGACAACTGGAGAGATACTTAGAGGTCTTACGAGACTCGCACCTCGTGCAGGAGATGGCCTGGCTGTACAAGCGGGTTGATGCGACGATGCCACCAGATGCTTTCCTGGTCATGACTCTGATCATACCGAACCTGGAGACAGTTGATTTACTTGCCGCCAAGCATGATCAAGCTCTCGAAGTCAGAGCACGGCACCTGCTCTTCGAGGAAGGCGAGGGATGGCGGGTCGTAGATCCAGCAGAAGAATCTCGCAGATCCTGTGCCAAAATGATAAAGCACACGCCATATGACTGGGAGAAGAATGACGAGGCAGATGAATGCAATAATGAACTGGAGCCTGATTGCAGCCGCGTGCTCGTGTACACGTTATTCTGCGAGGATGAGCACCCATGTGAAGTGGATGCGGCGGTGGTCGCTGCATCTCCAGGGGTCTACCATCCCCTGGAGGATCCCGGCTTCGGGTGGACGGAGAAACCTTTACGCGGCAACGGCGCGACTGGACCCACGGTTGTCCCCTGCAGTCGCCATTTTTTACGACAACCTCGACATCCGACGCCTATCCGACTCGCGAGGTGCGCCATACACGAGCACCACAACCAGCTACGGCTCCAATACGGCCCCGACCACGGCTATTACCCAGACGAAAGATTCATCGACAAGACATCGGTACCAGACCGTGTTGACATTTCGGAACTCGCAGTGCAGCTCACCCTCAGCGCTGCCGCACGCATCGAGGACGAAGCCACAGTCGGCCGCGACGACCTTTCCAGCAGCAACTCATCCGACGACACCAATTCCCTCGACGGGAACTAGGGCGTTCTTGACTCGACGTTTCTCCTTCTGCTTCGAATCCGAAAAGCCATCCAGTCGTCCAACAAGCATACAAAAATGGCTCTCCTCCCATTCACCCTAACCGGCCTCCTCGCCCGCCCCTTTCTCCCCAAGGCCACAACAACCACGCTCCCGATCCTCCGCACCTTCACAACGACGCCCGCCCCGCAAGCAGCCAAAGGCAAAAAGTCCAAGGTGACCCCGGGCTCCGAGTACCGTGCCCGCGTGGCCAAGCTCCGCGGCAACCTACACGGCAACGCGCCGCCACCCCTGCGCATGGCCCGCAACCGTCACCTGCGCCACTGGACCATCCATCGCGCCTGGAAGCTGCACCAGCGCGAGCTCCGTGAGGCCCGCGAGCGCGAGCTCATGCGCCAGCACCAGGGCATCAGCAACGCGTGCGAGGAGCTGCGTGTCACCGAGGGCCCCGGTCTCAATGCCGAGGGCTACCTGTACCGTGTTGCGCTCGAGAAGAAGGGCCTGTACGGCCTCGAAGCCGTGCCGATCGAGTACGCGAGGCTTCAGACGGAGACGCCGGCTAGGGTCGCTTGGGATCACGACTGGAAGAGGTAGAGGATGGATTTGCAGAGAACAAGAGAGGGGGCGAGATGGAGTCTCTTGCTTGACTGGGGGTCGAAAAGAGGGCCATGCGTCTTTTCTGGCTTCACGTCGGCGCCAGCGAGGGTTTCCTTTGATTTCCCTAGGCATACTGTATCACAACTGTTGCATAGAGTTCAAGGAGGGTAG